GTATTTGCATAACATCTGTCTTGATTTATTTTTGCTGTATAAATTTTAGCGATTTTTCGACCAAGTGTACTTAACTCGGTACGGATTTTGAAATGAATTGTCCCAACTCGGATCTATTCATATCATTAACCAAGTTGGGGGGTTTTTGTAAAAATAATTTCCGAGTTCCACTATGATCCTTGTCTTCAGCCACTAGTGTAAGTCTGTATGCGAACTTACTAAGAATTCGCAAAACTTCACACATTTTTAGGCTGTACGTAAAACAAAACAGAGTTCACCGAACTTTGTCAGAGTTTGATTATGGAATGGCCCCAACCGATTTGTATCTTTTGTATTCGGTACTTTTTGGGACCCGCCAAATCATGCTTGCTGAAATGACGCTTGACGAGCTTCAATCCCCAACCAAAACATGCGTAGGATTTGGATGGATTACGGGGTATCAGCAAGACCGAGTGTCGCAATGCTTACATCGGTACAAAATATTTATAGAACCGAGTTTCAAAGCTGTTGCTCGGATTTTCAAAAGTGAAAGTCGCTAGACTTTCAGTACATCAAAAGAGTCACTTCGTGCATTCAGTGAAGCAAAAGGAAGGTCCGTTCAAAAGAAGAGTCGGATATCGGACTTCGGACCGTTCATTGATAGAACTTCTTTAGGAAAACAGCATTCCACGGATATTGATGTGGAGTTCCATCAGGGTGAGCGATTCGGTAGGCCCCATGAGGTAGGACTTCAACAATTTGAAAGGGTCCTTCTCACCTCGGTTTGAGTGGGCCGGGGTCGGCCCCCATCACGCGTTTGAGAACTAGATCTCCAACTCGGAATTTACGCGGCTTGAATTTGGAATTAACGTATCTTTTGCTTCGATGTTTATAAGCAGCATTTTTGAGCTCGGCACGGATACGATGTTCTTCAAGCAAGTCAAGATTGGCTTTCAAGTTATCCGAGTTGGACTCTTCGGTAAAAGGTTGAATTCGGTAAGTAGGTTCACCGAGTTCGACTGGGACTACGGCTTCTGATCCGTAAGTGAGTGAGAACGGGGTCTCGCCGGTGGAAGTTCGGGTAGTTGTCCGATATGCCCATAAAATGTGTGGTAATTCCTCAGGCCAAGCTCCTTTGGCAGCGTCAAGTCGGACTTTGAGGCCATTTTTTATGAGCTTGTTCACAACTTCAACTTGACCGTTGGATTGTGGGTGGTAAGGTGAGGAGAAAAAGAGTTTGATGTTATATTCTTCGTACAGGGACTCAAGTCGCTTGCCTTTGAACTACTTTCCGTTGTCGGTAATGATGGAGTTCGGTACTCCGAAGCGGCAGATGATTGATTTTCATACAAAGTCAATGACTTTCTGTTCTGTTATCGTGACTAACGGTTCGGCTTTTGCCCACTTAGTTAAATAATCAACTGCTACGATGGCAAATCAGACGCCTCCTTTTCCGGTTGGTAGGGGACCTATGAGATCGATCCCCCATTTGGCGAAAGGCCATGGACTGTAAATTGATTTGAGCTCCTCGGGAGATTGGTGGATGTTGGGTGCGAATATTTGGCATTTCGGACATTTGCGAACCCATGCGGCGGCGTCGGATTTTAAGGTCGGCCAGTAATAACCTTGTCGCAAGACTTTGTAAGACAAGGCCTGTGCACCGGGGTGACTTCCGCAAATTCCTTCATGGACTTCTTCAAGAATATACCGTGAGTCGGATTCATTCACACATTTTAAAAGTGGGATGGAGTGTCCTCTTTTGAATAAAATTCCGTTGTCCAGTGTATATCGTGCTGCTCGGATCCGAAGTGCCCGAGCTTTTTTCGGGTTTGACGGTAAGGCCCCGGTTTCTAAATACCGAATGATAGGATCCATCCACGTCGGAGATTTTTGCGACGTCGTCACCGGATCAACAACGGCGACCTCAGGAAGGAAGGTTGATGGCTGCTCTTGTTGTCCGACTTGGACATACTCCATACTTTCCATCCCAGTACTTGAGGCTAACCGAGACAAGGCATCAGCTTGAACATTAAAAGTTCGCGGAATGTGTTCTAAATCAACAGAGAATTTTGATAGCTTCTTTTTTGCCAAGGACAAATACGGGGTTAACCGAGGTTCTTTGACTTCGTATGAGCCATTAATTTGGTTGGCGAGGAGCTGAGAGTCTGAGAAGACTTTTAGTTGTTTCACGTTCATAGATTCGGCTAAATCCAACCCGGATAGTAAGGCTTCATATTCGGCTTCATTGTTGGTTGCACGGAAGAGGAATTTTACAGAATGACAAAACAATCGATTGTCTGGGTTATCCAGGACTATTCCCGCACCTGCTCGGTTTGTTGTCGAAGAGCCGTCGATATACAGAACCCACGGCTGGTTGTCATGGTGAACTTCTATGGCCGGGGTGAATTCAGCGATAAAGTCAGATAAAGCCTGTGCCTTGATCGCGGTCCTCGGTTGATAGTGGATGTCAAATTGTCCGAGTTCAATTGCCCATTTTATCATGCGACCCGAAGTGTCAGGTCGGTGCAGGACTTGTCGTAGTGGATATGAAGTGCGGACCGATATATAATGTTCTTGAAAATAAGGTCGCAATTTCCGAGCAGCGATAACGAGTGCAAATGCCAATTTTTCCATCGGGGGATAACGCAACTCAGCATCATGTAATGCCTTGCTGACATAATAGATCGATGACTGTAACAGTCCTTCTTCACGTACTAAAATGGCGCTGATGGCTGAATCACTGACTCCGAGGTATAAAAACAACATCTCCTCGGGTTTTGGTTTTTGTAAGGTTGGTGGAGAGGTGAGTGTTTCCTTGATGCTGATGAGGGCCTTTTGGCATTCTTCGGTCCATTCAAAATGCTTTCCTTTCTTGATTGCTTCGAAAAAAGGTTTACACCGATCTGTGGATTTGAAGATGAACCGGTTAAGTGCTGCAAGTCGGCCGGTTAGGGCCTGAACACCCTTGACCGAGGTCGGGGGAGTTAGATTTTGAATGGCTTATATATTGGCCGGGTTGGCTTCAATTCCACGTTGGCTGACCATATAGCCCAGAAATTTTCCAGATTCAACTCCGAAGGTGCACTTCTTGGGATTCAAAACCATAGAATAAGATTGGAGAATATTGAACATGTCCTGGAGGTGTGTTATATGATCAGAGGCGTGCACCGACTTGACGAGCATATCATCTATGTAAACTTCCACGGTATGACCGATTAAACTGGAAAACATCTTGTTAACAAGACGCTGATAAGTGGCCCCAGCGTTTTTTAATCCGAACGGCATCATGGTATAACAATATAGGCCCCTAGCTGAATAAAAAGAGGTGTGTTTCGAGTCTTCAGGATCCATAGGGATTTGATTATACCCGGAGTATGCGTCCATGAAGCTCATTAACTCGTGTCCCGCTGTGGCATCAACCATATAATCTATGTGCGGGAGCGGGTAGCTGTCTTTCGGGCACGCCTTGTTTAAATCGGAAAAGTCGATACACAGTCTCCACAGACCATTACTTTTCTTGACGAGAACAGGGTTTGAGACCCATGTCGGATACTTGGCTTCTTTAATGAACTTGTTGTCGATGAGTTTCTTAACCTACTCTTCCAATGCTTTCTGACGATCCGGCCCTAGTTTCCTTTGTTTTTGAACAATAGGCCGGACAGTTCGATCGAGGTTCAACTTGGGACTAGCGACACCGGGGTCGATGCCCTTCATGTCTTCGTGTTTCCAAGCAAACACATCTGAATTTTGTTTGAGAAACGAAATGAGTTCTGACCGGAGAGGCTCTTGAAGGTGACTTCTAATGTGCAATGATTTGTGGAAGATCGGTTCATCGACATATATCAATTCTACTTCTTCTTCAGGTTCGGCTAGATCATTTCGGCTTTTTTCCTTGAATTGGGCCCTTGGGTCCAACTCGTCCTCTTCAAGGAGTGGCTCCTTCCCTGGCCGCCTACCTCGGTCTTCAGATAAAGGGTCCGAGGTGGGAGAAACAACGGCGTTGTAATTCGGTTCCTCGGAAATCACATCATCCGAGGTGTTTCGTTGTGGGGAATTATCATCATTTCCTGAAGTGATGGAATAGACTCCGCTGGATGGTACGAAAGTGACAAGTGCGTAGTGAAAGATCAAAACCGCATCTCGAAGTTTGTACAACGATGTTCTGCCGATGATGGCATTATACTCGTTGTTGATGTCAAGAATTTGAAAAGTTTCCATGACAAGTTTGGTGACGTTCTCCGAAGTGCCAAATCTGACAGGTAAAGTGATCTCGCCGATAGGCTTTGAAATGCTGCCATTAAACCCCTGTATTTGGTCGTTACAAAGTCGGATGTCAGCAGGATCGAGACCCATTTTTTCAAAGGCTTTTAACATCAAAATGCTTGAGTAGGCCCCAGTGTCGACCATTACACGATGTACTGGAATTCCGTATATTGGGACAGTAATAACAAGTGCATCAGAATGAGGATGTGCGAAATGATTTGCATCCTCCATATTAAAAGTTATGAGACAATTCCTGTTATTGAGGATGTCTCTCATATCGGTAGTATACACTTGTTTACTGGAGTTGTAAGCTTATCGAGCGTAAGCTTTGATTTGCCGACGGGATAATGTACTTCGGGTGTTGTTAGTATTGACGCGGTGGACAGTTATTTGCATCGGGCTAGGAGATCTGCTTCGTTTGTGTCTTTGAGAGGTTCCGGTTGAATTGGAATCGAACATTTCTGAGGTGAACATAAATACTTCCTTGTCTCCTTGCCGGATACTCTTCGGCATAACACCTCGGTCCTCCTCGTCGTCATCATCATAAGATTCCATTTGACGCCCTGGGCCTCGTTTCTGAGGATCGGTGTTATGATAGAACTTTCTGAGCTGCGGATGACCGATTAGACGCAACAAAGCAGCTAACAAGCTTAAGCATTTATCAGTATTGTGCCCTGGCGATTTGTGATAATCGCAATATTGGGATTTGTCTAACTTCTCCTCGGGCATCCGAAGTGGCTTGGGATCCGGTAAAATACCTTTCCCTTTGATTTCTTCGTATATGGTGGCAGCCCCAGTTGAATATACGGTCTGATAACCGATTTTACATCGGTGGAATACTGTTTTTGGGCTGCTCGTAATTCAGGATCGTTGGGATATCCTTGGGGAGGCCCTCTGAACTGAGTCTTGTTCTGCTTTTCAAAAAACTTATTTTTCTTTTTCTCGTCAGTTCCCGCCTTGGATGACTTTGGATTAAAATTAAAGTCGGGGACCGACATGGCTTCCTCAGCTATGATGTGTTGCTGCGCTCGAGCAAGAAATTCTTGAAAGGTGTTTGGCTTATTTTGACACAATGCCCAGCGGAAAATCGAATTCAGTTTCAGCCCGACAATAGCCATGACAAGCAGGGTTTCAGGATGACAAGGCTCCATATTCTGAACTCGGTCATTAAATTGGGCGATGTAGTCCTTGACACTTGCATCATCTTTTTGTGTTACATTTGCAAGAGATTCTTTTGGAATTAGACAGACTTGGGCCCCGATGAAATGAGATCGGAAGGCCGACCTCAATTGTTTCCATTTCCAAATAGAGTGAGGAGGAAGAGAATGGTACCATTTTTGGGCCCGAGGCCCCAGCGTGAGAGAAAACATACGACACCGAAGTGCGTCTGAGGCCCCATGCAGATCCATCCACGAAGTATAGTGACCGAGGTGTGAGTCGGGGTCTGAAGTTCCATCATATAACCCAATTTGAGGGACTTTAACTTTCCCCGGTACAGGTTCCGAAGTGATCTCTGGTGTGAGAGGGGAGTCGGCTTCCAGATATACTTGTGCCGAAGTTGAGGCCTGCCGAGAGGGGTCTTCGGGTACCCGTTGCCGACTTTCCAGTTCGGCAATTCTTCGTCGTAATGTTTCAAATTCGGATGATTCTTGACGAGCCCGATTCCTTTCAATGTGTTGCCGAAGGTCGGTCTGCGCCGGGTTGGAAGGGATTCGGTGTCGCGCATGAGACGGTGATCGTCGTGAATGACCAGACTGACTTTCGGTGGTTTTTTCATGAGGAAGTACAAGGGGATTGCGTCCGACATCGGTGCGACGCGTGGTTTGTTCTGGAGGCGGCTGCGACGCTCGACTGCAGGGTTGAGACGTGGCGTGAGATGTGGTCCTTCTGCCGTCTTGCCGTGCTGGTGGATTCTGCGGATTTGCAGGTGTTGTGGGTATTATGGAATGTCCTAGGCAGTCGTTGATACTCCAGGGATCGTTTGAGCCATCAAGGTAGCGAACCCACGTGCAAACTCTGGATTTTGGAACAGAACAGTGTAATCTGGTATATGGGGGGCTACGACTGGTCGTCGGGCGGATTGCGCAGCACTGCGACTGTGGCCATCCCGTGAAGTATGGCCACGATGATCAGAATGAGACATGATTGATATAGCTGATGTGGATCGTTTAAACACGAGTCGGATGGTAACCTCAAATCACTTATGAGGCCCTCCTTCTAGCGCCAAACTGTTGTCATATGATTCTTGACAACGAGTTAATACTGGATTTATGTGATAATTACGAATGGTTTGAACGTAAAATATGTGAGAAAGACTCAACAGTGGCCCCAGTCCGAGGTGGACCGAGGTGAAAAGCCTATGTGGGTTGTTGCGTGTTGCATTGTAAACGTTGTATTTTGGATTTTTGGGTCCGGAATCGGATCCCGTACAGGTATCACTAGCTAGCTATTTATAGTAACTTTTTGATACATACATTGGAATCCGTGCATTACTTTTTAGAAAAGGCTACTTTGATGGGCGGCCGAATCAGTGGACCCTACGTGAATGATGATAAATCTCGTAGATTGTGATAGGGGCGTGTAGGCGCCTTTTCACCTGCTTTCGGAGGTGACGACCTCGGTTCATGTTGACCTCAGTTTGGAATGACTTCGGCGGGTAGGGATCACTTCGGTCTTCTAGGGTTATACTGGTTTATTGTGCGAACCGAGATGACTCTGAGTTACATCGGTGTTTGAGTCAAATTTGCTTATGGTGCTGTTAAGGTCCTTAATTTTTCTTTACCGAGTCGGATGATAACAGGGAGAGCAATAATATTACTCTAGTGGGATGTTTTATTATTTAATTCCATTAAATAGGAATTAATTTTATTCCATATTAATTAATTAATTAGGAGAATAAAATTCCTACTAGAATCTTCTCTTGGGATTAGGAGACTTGGGAGTCTTCTAGAAGATGAAGATTAGTGGGAAATATATTTCCTACATTATATTATTAATTGGAGTAAAATTAGGTATCCTAAATTAGGAATTAGTTCTATTCCATGATTATTAATTTAATTAGGAAAGGAAATTGCTACAAGGATCTTCCCTAGTGTTAGGAGACTTAGGAGTCTTCTAGAAGAGAAGGATTAGTAGGAGATCTTCTTCCTAGATTGAGTTAGTATTGGATTAGAATTCGATTTCCTAGGCCTAATGGAATAAGCCCATATTTAGGACCTCCTTAAGGTCCCTAATGGAGCCTATATATACACCATGTCCCAATATCTCCTACAAGTTGATGTTGGCCGATTTTCTCATCTACATACACGAGAGAAATATCATCGTTCGAGAGTTAGGGAGATCCGATTAAACGCTCCACCAAGTTTAATCGGAATAGGTGTTTAGGTAATCCATTAGAAGGCTTTTTGGTACAATTGATTGAGCTTTCTAATAACCATATTTTCCGGTCATCGTCATCATCTAATCACCGCCGCCGCCGTGAGTAATCGCCGGAAATCGCCGCCGCCGCCGGAAGCCAGCCAAGCCCAGCCGATAGCTCCCAGCAGCGACGCCTAACGTCCACCAGCGACGTCCGTTCGCGCCTGCGATCGCAAGTTTCCAGCGACGCCCGTTCATCCCAGATGCTCGTCGTTGCCGATTGCGAGGTCCCAGCGCTCACCCGTACACGCGCATCATTCCTTGTGCGCCCAGGAGTTGCGCACATCACACCTGCGTGCATCCACCGCGTCCCAGCGCCAGTCCGCGTAGGAGAAGGAGTCCCGCCGCACGGGCGCACTTGCCCAGCAGCTGCCAGCATCAGCCCGCACCTCCCAGCAGTCATCCGCGTATGCCCAGCGCCCGACGCGCCCCGCCAGCGATCCGCATGTCCCGCCAGCATTTCGCGCACGCTGGCCGCACGATGTCCGCGCCCGACGCGCACGATCGCCCGCTGCAACCCGACGACCGAGACCTGCACACCGTACGTTCGTGATCCGTTTGACGAGTTGATTAGAATCAACTAAAGGCCAAACCTATCTGCCCATTAGGTTGTGGTGTTCAGACGAACTTCACCAACGTTACTCTACATCGTCTCAGAGTCGGCAAAAATTTAAAAGGTAAACGTCCATATCCTAACTATAGATTCCGCTGCGTTGGGATTTATTTCGATAAAGTTCAATAATGTGCATGTTGTTTGACGTTCCTAAGAGAACCCAACATAACATATTTAAAAAAGTCGAGGAAAATAAGGGTAAATAGAGGCAAATGGTACACATTTAAAAAAGTCGAGGAAAATAAGGGTAAATAGAGGCAAGTACGAAAAATGTAAGCAACGTCTCCGAAAAGACTTGTTTTCGAACACGACACCATTATTTGATGTGATAACATATTTTTGTCGCCCCATCGTGTTTTGAAGCAAAACAGTACACGTTTAAGAAAGTCGAGGAAAATAAGGGTAAATAGGGGCAAGTACGAAAAATGTAAGCAACGTCTCCGGAGAGACTTGTTTTCGAACACGGAACCATTATTTGATGTGGATAATATATATTTATCGCCCCCATCGTGTTTTGAAGCAAAATGGTACACGTTTAATAAAGTCTATAAAAAAACGGTAAATAGCGGCAAGTACGAAAAATATAAGCAACGTCTCCGGAAAGACTTGTTTTCGAACACGGCACCATTATTTGATGTGGATAACATGTATTTATTGCCCCATCGTGATTTGAAGCAAAATGGTACATGTTTAAGAAAGTCGAGGAAAATAAGGATAAATGGGGGCAAGTACGAAAAATGTAAGCAACGCCTCCGGAAAGACTTGTTTTCGAGCATGGCACCATTATTTGATGTGGATAACATATATTTATCGCCCCATCATGTTTTGAAGCAAAATGGCACATGTTTAATAAATTCGATAAAAATAAGGGTAAATAGGGGCAAGTACGAAAAATATAAGCAACATCTCCGAAAAGACTTGTTTTCGAAAACGACACCTTATTTGATGTGGATAACATATATTTATCGCCCCATGGTGTTTTGAAACAAAATGGTACATGTTTAAGAAAGTCGAGGAAAATAAGGGTAAACAGGGGCAAGTAGGAAAAATGTAAGCAACGTCGACGCCTGGCACCGAGCGAGGTGTTGATTGACGCTTATCTCCGGAAAGACTTGTTTTAAAAAATGGCACCATTATTTGATGTGGATAACATGTATTTATCGCCTCATCGTGTTTTGAAGCAAAACGGTACACGTTTAAGAAAGTCGAGGAAAACAAGGGTAAATAGGGGCAAGTACGAAAAATATAAGCAACGTCTCTGGAAAGACTTGTTTTCGAACACGACACTATTATTTGATGTGGATAACATATATTTATCGCCCCACGCTGTTTTGAAGCAAAATGGTACATGTTTAAAAAAGTCGAGGGAAATAAGGGTAAACAGGGGCAAGTACGAAAAATATAAGCAACGTCTCTGCAAAGACTTGTTTTCGAACACGACATCATTATTGGATGTGGATAACATATATTTATCGCCCCATCATGTTTTGCAGCAAAATGGTACACGTTTAATATAGTCGAGTAAAATAAGGGTAAATAGGGGCAAGTACGAAAAATATAAGCAACGTCTCCGGAAATACTTGTTTTCGAACACGACACTATTATTTGATGTGGATAACATATATTTATCGCCACATGGTGTTTTGAAGCAAACTGGTAGATATTTTAGAAAGTCGAAGAAAATAAGGGTAAACAGGAGCAAGTACGAAAAATGTAAGCAACGTCTCCGGAAAGACTTGTTTTCGAACACGACACCATTATTTGATGTGGATAATATATATTTATCGCCTCATCGTGTTTTGAATAAAAACTGTCCAAGTTTAAGAAAGTCGAGGAAAATAAGGGTAAATAGGGGCAAGTACGAAAAATGTAAGCAACGTCTCCGGAAAGACTTGTTTTCGAACACGACACCATTATTTATGTAGATAACATAGTTATCGCCCCATTGTGTTTTGAAGCAAAATGGTACACAGTTAAAAAAGTCGAGGAAAATAAGGGTAAATAGAGGCAAGTACGAAAAATGTAAGCAACGTCTCTGAAAAGACTTGTTTTCGAACACGATACCATTATTTGTTGTGGATAACATATTTTTATCGCCCCATCGTGTTTTGAAGCAAAACGATACACGTTTAAGAAAGTCGAGGAAAATAAGGGTAAATAGGAGCAAGTACAAAAAATGTAAGCAACGTTTCCGGAAAGACTTGTTTTCGAACACGGAACCATTATTCGATGTGGATAATATATATTTATCGCCCCATCGTGTTTTGAAGCAAAATGGTACACATTTAATAAAGTCGATAAAAAAAGGGTAAATAGGGGCAAGTACGAAAAATATAAGCAACGTCTCCGGAAGGACTTGTTTTCGAACACGGCACCATTATTTGATGTGGATAACATATATTTATCGCCCCATCGTGATTTGAAGCAAAATGGTACATGTTTAAGAAAGTCGAGGAAAATAAGGATAAATGGGGGCAAGTACGAAAAATCTAAGCAACGTCTCCGGAAAGACTTGTTTTCGAACATGGCACCATTATTTGATGTGGATAACATATATTTATCGCCCCAT